TGACAACGTGCAATGTTTCGTAACATCAGCCATTGACTAGAGCCTAAAACCACTAAACTTAGAGAAGTTCGTGGCGTAGAACCAAAATAAACTTTTTAAGCCAGTCAACCAGCCAAAGTGCACGTTCATAGCCTTATTACTAATATTCCTCATCCATTTTACGCAAAGAATTGAGGTAAGAATGTAGTTGGACACAACCAAACTTTAAAAATGGTTCAAGAGAACAATAAAAGGTAGCCTGCAAACTAACTACATCTTGTCGCCAACCTGCACTTCTCTGAAATATTTAAATCGTTTGATGAGGTATCACCGGACTGCTGCCAGGGCTCAGGAACGCGTCGAATTCACTTGTACAATCTGATTTCTTTCTAAGCAAAAACATTACCTTCATGACATACTTTAACAGCGACGTGATTACTACATCGGAAAGATCAAACAGCATTTAACTAAGTTAAGTGGGGAAAATCTTAGCTGAACACTGATGTCTCACAAAAATCTGTACTCAGCACAACGATGCCCGAAAGCGTCATACCGCATTATGCATTTTTCTATTATTTCGGGGACAAAAATAGAAAATTGCACATTGACATCATAATCCACTTAGCAATGCATGTGCATGAACTTAAAAATCACACAATTCTCATTATATGGCTTGCCTTCATAATAGGACCCGGAGTGTGGCCGACGGACGGGTGAGAATCAGGCAATCGACCACTCTTAGTCTTGAACCGCCACATGCTCTGACTTACGCCCTCTGGCAAGATGAACTTCTCTCGCAGTTCAATATTCGTTCTGCCCTTGGCTAAAACACATACTCAGAAATGAAACCGAGAAATAATCACTACCTCTGCACGGATCGTTTTTGACCAGAAACTCGTCGAGGGCGACCCATCCACCGCCGACTCTTACCATCACAGTTGACCTCAAAATACGCACAAGCCTCAGTTGCTCGCCAAACTAAAAAAAAACAAAAAAAATTAGCACAATGCTCAAAAACAAAACCAAACGCACCGATTATGATAATCTAGACGAATTTAACTGTTCTGAGAAGTACGTCAGGGTCAACTAAAACCTCAACTAGACCACTGCCGTTTTAGTTGGCTAAACGAATAATAGCAGAGAGATATAAATCACGTTTGGTGAGGGTATGAATATTATAAGTGACATAATTATCGCTTAAAGTTATTCAAGTGTGAAAATATCTTTACAGCGCTAAACTCTTCAAGATGCGAACAACTCGATCATTGAATCAACTTATAAGGCATACATTTTTAACGCGTGTGGCTAATTCAAGCGTCTGTCTGGAGCAGTGGCAAAATCAAAAATGCAGACAGGCATCCAGGTCCATAGCAACTGAAATTAGCTGCATCAAAAACTACTGTAAATTGGGTTTGCGCTGACAAGCCGGAAATCATTTTAAGCGAATGAAGTTATGACGTCGTGTTTTGCATATGCGCAAAGTTTAAAGAATCGATAGACCAAACTTGTAGTGCCAACTGCTCGACCCGTTCGAGAAGGTCATAGATAGTTCAGAAATGAATGTATAGTCTACAGGATGAAACAATACGGGTATTTATTTGGCGACATTTTAGAAAATTCACCAACATTACTTTCAGGCGTTGCCTCTGGCATTGCAGTTAAATAAAAAGTCATTTCATAAAATAAAATTATACGTCTTCTTCCGTCATATGCCCAATGAGATTGGGCAGAATCATTGGTTATAGAGTAACATAACTTTATTATGAATATCCTGCTTAAAATAACCACAGCCATCAGTCGCAGCATCAGCTGAAATACTGTTTTAATGACAGAAGAGATTAATTAATATGAGGTTACGAGACTTATACGAAGTAGATCACAATTTTCTATGGTACAGCAGAAACCACAGAACATCGTTGTAGACGATATAAAGGTATAAATGTAAAAAGGGCGCATTACATCCGGACGTCAGACCTGACCGCCGTTTCTGATTGGTAATATAAGATGGATACAGCTTGGACAGGGGGTCTGGATTGACCTACGCCTTTTACGACGATGACGCCTTTTATCCAACCCTACCGCATGAAGACAATTAATATGACTAACGCAATAATTGAAAAATCGGGTTCAAGTCGAAAACAGGGAATAACGGATAAGTGAAAGATGGAAGGCACAGTAAAGCGCGGGGAGCTTTGTATGCACACAGATTCTAAGTTAATTATTAACTTTATACAAGAACTCTAAAATTGCTGAAGACACACACAATGCTACCCGAACTCAAGTGCAGTTCTTCTTGCGTTGAAAATGAATCTGTACAGAAAAGGTATTCTGATTAAATCTGACGAAAAGCCCCATTGTTCGCAAAATAGTGCAAAGATGCAAAACTTTATACTTTGTATTTTCCATCACCAACTTCCTTGATTTTGTACTTGCTTTGACAGGTGCAGAGCTGTGACTGGCGCTGAACTTCATCTTTAATTTTCTCAGCATCGCTTTTGGGCTGAAATAAGAGATATGGCAATTTACGAATGTGAGAAAATCGTAAGCGAATTAAAATGATAAATATATTATTCTTTGTGATAAATGAGATAAGAAAATCATTCAATCGGGGGAAGAAAAAAGTAATTAAATCAATAAAGTAATAAGTAATAACCTTAGCGAAACATCTTAGACGCTCAGTCTGAAATTCATAAGCCTTGTTTCAGTGATATGCAACGAACTCTGTATGTCGAACTATGCTGTACACAAACAACTGACCGCATTTTACATCGACATTCAACTACAAGGAGCCAATGCGTTTCCAGGAGTAGATGATTTTTTATCGGTCATTCGGAAGTAGGTCAGTCAAACTCTGCAAGCAGATAGTTGCTTTATGGTCGTGTCTTTCTACCATACAGCAGTGCGGGTAGACGGAATCTGGCGGCGCATGCCAGTGTGCATTTCGTGTCCTTGATATTACCGTCCATAACAAAGAAGGCGCAGTCACCCACTGAGATCATAGGAATCATAACACAGCGATGATTTCCTTGACTCCCTATATTTGAAAGCATAATTCCATGACCAACTGCAATTGAAACAGCAAACAGCACATCACTTCTCATACAGTATTCCACTTATTTAGAAATCAACATTAACTACAGTTAATTTACTATTGATTACTGAATTATTAACATTCATGGTTTTGATATACATCATACTCGTAAATTATATTTCGAAGGAACAATACCAATTTACAAATTAGTCGAATTCACTTAGTGAACATGCTAAATTATGCCTATTACGAAACAGACAGGAATTAGTAAATGGAAACACGATTAGAAATCGAACATTGGCAGAAGTAAAATGATTAAAAGAAAAGTTAAATTATAATGCTTAAGAGAAATATAATTCCAGGATAAAAATATATTTCCTCCGATCATTTCATAAGGTTAACACTGATACCTCTCTGTCAGGTCTAAGGGCTTCAATGAACTCGCGGTAG